CTCCATCCCATTCTCTCAGTTCCTCCGTCTCCGAAGCATATTTTCAGATGAGGTCAACTTCTATAAGGGAGCCTCCGAAATGTCCACCTTCTTCCTCAACCGAGGATTCCCCAGCTCCGTTGTCGACAGGGCCCTCAACCAGGTCCGACCCATCTCCCGCACTTCCCCCCCTCACCCCTTCTCTTCTCTTCCCTCCTGCAACAGCGATAGAGCTCCCCTCATCCTCACCTACCATCCCACCAGCATCCACATCCAGAAGATCAGACGCCATTTCTGCCACCTCCAGCAAGATGCCACCACCAGACACGTATTCCCCTCACCTCTCTTGTCCGCCTTCCGCAGGGACCGTTCCCTCCAGGACACCCTGGTCCACACTTCCATCACCCCCAACACCTCCCCACAGGCCTACGGCACCTTCCCCTGTAACCGGCGAAGGTGCAACACCTGTATATTTACCTCCTCCCTCCCCAGAATCCAAGGGCTCAAACATACCTTCCAGGTGAAGCAACACTTCACCTGCACTTCCCACAATCTAGTCTACTGCATTCGCTGCTCACAATGTGGTCTCCTCTACATTGGGGAAACGAAGCGTAGACTTGGCGACCGCTTCGCAGAACATCTACATTCTGTTCGCAAAAAAGACCCAGAACTACCTGTTGCCTGCCACTTCAATGCACCACCCTGCTCCCTGGCCAACATCTGTGTCTCTGGCTTGCTACAGTGTTCCGGTGAAGCCCAACGCAAGCTGGAGGAACAACACCTCATTTTCCGCTTGGGGACCCTACAGCCCTCCAGACTCAATATTGAGTTCAATAATTTTAGGGCCTAAACTCTCCCATGTCCCAGCACCCCACCCCATACACCAGGCCTTGTTACCACATAGCCTGCCATTACACACCCCCTGTTTATAGTCACTAACAGTCCCCATTAACAACTACTCACCCTCCCAGCCTGATCGTTAGTAACTCCTTTGTCTGTCCAACTGTTTTTTTCTCTCTTTGGGCTCTATCCTATCGTTTACTCCCTACCCCACCAACCTCCCTATTTTCTGCATATAAACTAACGTTTTCCCAGCCACCATCAGGTCTGAGGAAGGGTCACCGGACCCGAAATGTTAACTCTGTTTTCTCCTTCACAGATGCTGCCAGACCTGCTGAGCTTTTCCAGCAACTTTGTTTTTGTTTCACTTCTAGGACTCTTTCAGCTCTTCTGCATCCTCTTGAAGGTTTGGACATCATTCCTCAAGTATTAGCCAAAATATTCCAACAGGGAGGCAAGACAATATTTTGTAAAGGTCTATTATAATTTTCTTGCTTTGGTACTCCAGGCCACCAATTATAAATCCTTGCATCTGGAGGCCTTCTTGATTTGCCTGTGCAGATACCACTGCCTATACTTCTCTAGGTTTCTGCACATCTCTTTAGAATTCTACCATTTAGTTTATTCACTTCTCCTCATTCTTCCTGCCAATATGTAGCACTTCACACTTCTCTGCATTAAATTCCATCTACTGTGTGCTTGCTGGTCCATTCCCCAAGCCTGTGCCACAGTGATCACCTGTGCCATCTGAAGGTCAAAAGGTGAATTGTGTCGACAGGGACACATTGTACAACTCTCTGGATTTGGGGAGGGGAGAGTGAGAGAGAGAACATGTACCCAACACTGACCACATCAGAATGTAGCTGCATCAAGCTATGTGTAGACCCTCAGTATGCAAACATCAGGTGTCATTACATGCTGAGGTTCTACCTGTTCCCAGGTTGTGAAGGATGGATTTGGTCATGTTTCCACAAATGCTCTATACTGTACCACCTGTCCTTCGCAGAAATGTTTGTACAAAAAACGCTTTTGAACACAAGTCCATCAAGCAGTGTGGTCAGCACAACGCCCTCAAGGCCCTGTCGTGAAAGGAGAGGGTTGATCCTGTGAAATTGTTCTCTGAGGAGACACTGAAAGTCGTTTGGCAGAATGCCTTGTCATCAGAACTTTCTAATAAGCACCAAGGTGTAGCCTGGCTGGTGGTGATAATGGTGCCACCATAAACTGCCCTCTAGATGATCGCAGTGATGAAGAGATTGCTGCATATCTCCTTCTGAATGTGTCTTTGCGAATGAGGTCCAGAGAGAGATGCAACAATTTTGGTGAGGTTCGACCCAACCAACTCCAAGACAATGAACTCTTGTGCTGTACAAAGATGAACATCGAGATAAACATCAAGTACACCTCGAGGACCATCAACTCAGTGAAAAACGCTCTTTTGTCCGGTGATCTTTCATTGTGAAGAGATATCCTCAACCGGGACGTGTTGCAGACAGGCATATTTCAAAGTCCAGGACTACTTGTTATGGGATTCACTAAAGTTCTGGACAGCCGCCACCGAGGTGCAGCGGAGAAAAGCCACCATCAAAGGCCTTTCTGCCATGATATCCAAAGGGATGTATTGGAATATAAGTAATTTGTCATATTTAGTAAATGTTCAAGTTTTACATATGGATAAAGGCAACCTCAAAAGTGCAATAATTAAATGAGGAATGTGATACTTTAATTTTCCATAATGTCTGATTTGAATTGTTCTGTAATGCATAATAGAAAATTTATGAACAAAGTATGCTTTGCAAAAAAAATGTAAATTGTTAACATAAATAACTGAAATAACAACAGGAAAAATCACAGCCCCCATCAAATCATCTGAGTTCATTTTGTCTGCACTTTGAAAAAAGCTACTTTTATTCTCAGACAGCATGGTTGTTTGCATATTTGCTTGTGGTAATAAACAATTTCCAGTCAAACTGCTTATGAATATTTTCTTAAATGTATGCGTGATAACCCCTGATATCTGAATGGACCCAGAATGGTCACAAATCAAGACCAATTTTAAAATTCTCAAGTTTACTTTAGAATTGCATCAAAACAAAAAAAAAGACAACTTTTTAAACAAATCTCACTAATGCAGTTATTTCTAACAAAAGGGAACTACTAAGGTTGAATTTCATTAATTGATACCTGGACCTTCCTTCAGAAAGAAAACTCCTCTAAACAAGCCTGGGCACTATGTTCTAAAAAGGCCACAGACTTGACCCACAAAAGTGGGCACGTTTCTAGAAACCTCAAACGAAAGGCTGCATTTGCTGACACCAGCGCACATACATTATACGCTGCTTTAAATCATGCGTGCACATTTAAACAGTCCAGGGGATGTGGCCTGTGGAGATGCAGGGGGAGGTGATGGGCAGGATTGCAGACACATGTCATGTACGTTTCTGGATTAAAGTGCATGCAGATTTGTAGAATCACAGAGCAATACAGCATAGAAACAGGCTCTTCCTGTCTATGCTGCTCCCAGTTGTGGTGTCAGCAGATACTGTTAGAGGGTGGGGGTGAGAGCCTAATTCTGCTCCTACATCTTATGGTTTTATGTTCTCTACCAAAATCATTAAAAATCCCGAACATAAAAAACTTTCACCTTTCATCAGTGGCCACTAGCTGCTACTACACACTCCAAATAAACTAATGAGACACAGTAGATAGCACTCACTTTTGAGTGAGATAGGTGTGGATCAAAGTTCCATTCCAATGACTTGAACCTGCGACCCAGATTGACTCTCCAGTGCTAGTTCTGATAGAGCACTGCCCTATTGACGATATCACACATTGCTTGAAACGTTCAAGTGACCTTTTTGTTCTCTCAGGTGGTCATGAAAGATCATATGGCTCAGTTTTGAAGAAAAACTGGGCAGTTCAAATATTCAAATGTTCTGCCTAACTTTTATCCCTAACCAACATTGGTAAAAGAGATTATCTGCTCAACATAACAGGGGTGCTTATGAGATTTTGCTGTCCGCAAATTGGCTACTGTAGTTCCAACATTCCAGCATCAAGCACACTTCAAAAGAATTAATTGATTGTAAAGCATATTTCTTTAATTCTGAAATAAATGTCTGCTTTGGTCACTTGACCAGCTGTTCCAGGACTAACTTCAACATGGGCCCAAATTAGGCTGGTATTAGACAGTACCAAGCTCTCCAATTTTGTACTCGGCTACACCCATCTCTGTTCAACTAGACCCATGTTGTCGGCAGTAGCAGTGACCCTGGTGGTGGGTTGTGCATGTATGCATTACATTCTCAGGATGAGGGGCCAATCATTTAGAATGGAGATAAGGAACAATTACTTCACTCAAAGGATTTTGAATGTTAGGAATTTCCCACCCCAGAAGGTTGTGATTGCTACATTTTGAATATATTTAAGGCTGAGACAGACAGATGTTTGTTTTTTTGGCAATTGAGGGATATGGGGAATGGACAGCCCAAGATCAGCCATGATTGTACTGAATGACATAACAGTCTCACCAGGCCACGTAGTCGACTCCTACTCCTTTTACGTTCTAACTCCCCAGTCCTCTCCTAACCCCATTCCCCCAACCTATCTCCTCATTCTGTCTCACTCCCCTACCCTCTTACCTCATCACTGCATGAACCAATCTTCTTTATTTCTTACAATCCTCTTATATTACCACCTCATTACCTAAGCGTCTCCCTTCTTCTCCAAGTCACTAATTCTCACACCACCATCTCATTTCTCCTCACCAAGTCACCTTAAGGTAATAGATTGTCATCCCTCCTCAACATCTCACTTTGTGATATTCTGCCCTCCATTCCAAGTTGCTGTTCCTTCAGAGGTGCTGTTGCCTCCTCACCAATTCTCTGAGGTGATTACATTTTCCTCATTCTGAGACACTATTCCCTAGTCACTACATCACGATTGGAGGTAGTCTTCTTTCATGACTTCTCTCTCTGTGGTCTCCATTCTCAAACCCTCAGTCCTTGATGCATCGCTACCCTCCTCACCACTTCACCACCACAGGAAAACTTTTATTCTCCTCAGTCAATCTCATACTTGCTAAAACTGCAGCTTTACTCAAATATGACTTAAAAAATAAATCAGATTCATGGCAAACTGCAAAATTCTTCCTAGAATGCCTACAGCAACAATCCACTTACCTCTTCCACATATGGTTTCACAAGCACCTGACCAATCAGTGCTTCTGCATCCCTCGTTTTGTCTATGGTCGCATATGTCCGTAAACAAGGACGTACAATCTCAACATTGGCAGTTTGCAGGCCTTCCAACAGCAGCCCTTCCAGGGACTGCTGAAGCATGGCTGTGATTCCAGCTATTCGCTGCAAACAAAGTTCAAAATACATGATGCAAATTGTCCTGGCACACATAAATACAGAACTGATTGGTGGGGCAGATGTAACAACATTCGACACTGGGATGAAACCAGTCAAATTTAGAGAACTACAGGTTTTTTTTTAAACACCAATTGCTGTTTTGTCATGAATAACTCAAGTGCTCCTCATGCTACTGTGTTTAGTTCTGCGCACCACATCTCAGGGAAGGATTTATTGGCTTTGGAGTGATTAAAGGAGTTATCCACCAAAATGCTCCCAAGACTGAAAAAATTAAGTTATGGAGGACTGTGAGGCAATGCATAAACTACATTTATATTCCCATTAGTATAGAAGATAGAGAGATGATCTGATGGGGCATTTAAGGTAACTACATGAATTAATAGGGTAGAGGGAGAAATAAATTCCAATTGTGTAGGAATTCAGAACAACATGGGGAGATAAGCTTAATATCAGAGCTAGATCACACAGGTGTGATATCAGGAAGCACCTCTTCACACAAAGGATCATGGCAAATCTGGAACTTCTGCAAACGACAGTTGAAGTGGGTGAGGGTCAATTGAAAACATTAAGATTGGTATCGATGAGACTTATGTCAATAAGGGTAGTAAAAGCAATGGAACCAAGACAGGCAATTGAAATAAAAATGTGGATTATCTGTGATCTACTGAATAGCAGACCAGGATGTGTATCTGAATGATGTATTCCTATATCACGGAATTGTTATGGCGCAGGAGGCCAATCGGCTCATCCTGACTGCACTGGTTCTATTTTCTAGTGCCAGTCTCCTGTGTTTTTCCTCATATCTATACGCACCACTTCTATCCAAATAATTATTTAATGCTCTCTTGAAGCCTCAATTAAACCTGCCTCCACCATGGTTCCAAGCAGTGAATTCAACATCCTAACTACTGACTGTGTCAAAATGATTTTTCTCACAACACCCTTGGGTCGCTTGCATATCACTTCAAATCTACGCCCTCTTGTTCTTGTTCCTTTTACGGCGGGAACAGCTTCTCCCTATCTACTCTAGCCCACTAATGAAAATCTCTATCAAATTGCATCTCAGGTGTCTTCTCTCCAAGGAGAAAAGTTCCAACTTCTTTAATTTATCCACATAACTGAAGTTTCTCAGTCCTGGAACCATTCACGTACATCGCTTCTGCATGCTCTCCGATGCATTCACATCTTTCCTATAATATGCCACCCACAACTTTACACAATACTCTAGCTAGGGTCTAACAAACGTCTTACACAAGTTCAACATCGCCTCCTTCATCTTGTACTTTATGTCAATGTTAATAAAGCTGAGAACACTGTATGCTGTATTCATTGGTCTCTCTAACTATCCTGCCATTTTCAATGATCTGTCCACATAAATACCCATATCCCTCTGCTCCTAAACTCACTTTAAAATTGTATCCCTTATTAAATAGTGTCTTTCAATGTTCTTCTAACAAAAGTGCAACACCTCATACTTCTCTGCATTAAACAGCTTGTCACCTATCTGCCCACTTTATCAACTTGTCAATGTCCTTTTGAAATTCTGCACTCTCCTCCTTGGAGTTTACATTTCTTCCAACTTCTGTGTCATCTGCAAACTTTTAATTGTTCCCTACACACCAACATCGAGATCATTAACATATGTCAAGAAAAGCATGGGTCCCAATTCTGACCCCTGACTACAAATCTTCCTCCAGCCCAAAAATATCCATTGACCACCACTGTTTCCTATCACTCAGACAATTTTGTATTCACATTGCTACTGTCCCCTTTATGCCATGACTTGCAACTTTCCTCAAAGTGTAAAACTATATCAAACACCTTCTGGAAATCCACGTATACCACTTCAAATGCATTACCCATATCAACCCTTCCTGTTACAGCTTCAAAACAAACTCCAGTGAGTTAATGAAACCTCCTAATCAATACACATTTTTCATGTGATTACTAAGGCTATCCTAAATAATTGTTTCTAGAAGTTGCTGCCATATGAAACTCTCCTGAACACAACCTAGGAACACTTGCTCCCAGTATCCAAGTCTGTATTTGGGTAACTTAAGTCTCTCATAAAGACTACTCCATAATGATGGCAGTTCTCCGTAACTTCCCTGTTGATTTGTTCCTCTACATTCTTTTCACTAGTTGGTGGCCTAGAGACTACACTGAGCAATGTAATTGCACCCTTTTTATTCCATAGCTCTAGCCAACTTGACCCGATCATTGAGTCCTCTGAAACATCTTATTTGTCCAGTACTGCAGTGCGTCCTTAACCAATACTGCTATCCTTCCTTCCTTCCTTTTCTAATCTTTCCTAAACAACTAATACCCAAGAATATTTAACAGTCAGTCTTGCCCTTTCTTGAGCCAGGTCTCCTTCACCACACGACACCATAATTCCACTTAGCGATTTGCATCTGTATCTTCCCAACTCTCCTTATTATGCTCCATGCATTTACACACATGCATGTTAACTGTGTTTTGGATTTCATTTCTTTCTCTCTTATTCCGACTTAATGTTCTCTATGCTAGTGCCAGCTGTATCCCTAAGAAATTTACAGGACTTGGTATTGTCTCTATTGTTCTTCTTACATTCCCACACCGCTGTCAAGTTAGTTTAAAGGCCTCCCAATTGCACTAGTGAAATATGCTGCAATGAGCTTAATCCCAGCTTTTATCATGTGCAGATTTGCACAGGTGCCATCTTTGCCAGAATCCCAGGAATCTAAGATCCTCCCTCCTGCACCATCTTTCCAGCAATGCATTCATCTGAGTTATCCTCCTATTTCAATACTCGCTTGCGTGTGGCACTGGGAGTAATTCAGAGATTATTATATTGCTCGCTAACTTTCTACCTATCTCCCTAAATTCTGATTCCAGGACTGTATGCTCTTTCCTACCCAAGCCACTGGTACCAATGTGGACCACAACCTCTGGCTCTTCTATCATTCCACATCCCTAACCTTTCACATTCTCTTTGCCCCTATCCAACCATGCTTCCCTTGACCCTGGCACCAGAGAGGTAATATACAATCCTGGCGTCATATTGCCAGTGAGAGAAGCTTGCCTGTCCTCCACTATTGAATGACTTATCACTATTGCTCCTCTTTCCTTCTTCCTCCCTTCCTGTACAGTCGGGTTACTCCAGGTACCAGAAACTTGGTTCTGACTGTACTCTTAAGGAAGGGGCACCCTCATCATCTTCCAAAATTGAAAACTGATTTGTGAACGGGACCCCAGAAGTCTCATACACTAGGTGCCCGTTTCTTTTAAGCTACCTGGCAGCTACCCATCCCCTTCTTTCCGCCAGTCCCTTAAGCTGCAGTGTGACCACCTCTCTAAATCTGCCATCCATCTAGCATCCAGCCTCAAAATCAATAGTTGTCATTCTTGGCATTTACGCAGAGGAGCATTCAATTCCAATTTTAATTTAAATTTCACCTGTAGAAATGGGGGGATTTGAACCCTGTTCCCTATTAGCTTGAGCCTCTGGATTAATAGTTCAAAGATATTACCATGTTACAACTGTCTTCCCATGAATATATAAATGGAAAAAAAACGCCCGAAATTATTTCAAATAACTGCACTTGAATTATATATCTCTACTCTTCTCCCAGTTCCCAGGAGAACTGGGAAAGCTGGCAGATCCATCAAAAACAGTGCAAACCAGACACAGACAAAATTTCTCAGATCCAGAGATTTCAGAATCCTGTCGGGCAATCAGTAGGAAAGTGACTGCGATTCTCAGATTAATCAAATTCAGGGACAATTAGCAAGATGAAAATTAAGGACAGCAACAAAGCTCTGTGGAATTCCTTTGTCATCCCAAGTGAGATTCAAGCCTATTTGTGACAGGGGATAGCGATTATCCTATACAATAGGCAGATCACTGCATCCAATTCATCAGGGTCAAAGTAATCCCTTTAACTACATTTTCGTGTAGCAGCTGACACTCCTAAAAGAAGCCACTCAAAGGTCACTGTACACTGCAGGTGGCCTAAGCAAGATGAAAGCGGAATCTCTGTCCTTCAGTGGGTGGAAGTCATGCCCTCAGGTTTGATCGGCAGCTCGATTGGCCCGAGCAGCATCACAGCTTGGTCACCGGGCACTGTGTGGAACCGGGCACATGCTGGACTTTGATGGATCCTGGAACCAGCAAGGTTCCTTGCTTTTAAGATGGGGAGCAATCAGACACCCTAGGGAAGGGGACATGAGCGGGAGGGAGGGGGAAACAGGAAAGGGAGGGAGTACTTTGACAGGCAGCTGCTAATATGCGCAAAACACTCCCTGAATGATGTGGCCCCTCCACACACCCTTCCCACTTACTTACAACTACTTTTTAAAAAAACAGCCTGCTCATGTCAACCATGTTATGGTGTGGGCAGTGTAATATTCCAATTGGCTTAGCAACAAGCTCAACTGACCATTAATTATTTATTTAAGACTGGCAAGTCAGCTAGCGTGAGATATGTCTCTGTATTATGAGGAGTAACAGTTGAATAGAACAGATTAGACAGACCACAGGGTCTTTTCCTGTTTGTCAGTGTTTATTTACGATCTATTGTTTGATCCATTACTGTAGTATAGTCTTTGATGGCAATTCCCTACTATCAGTTTGCCTGTTTTTATGACAGCTCTGCAGAGTGCCTTTTTTAAATATAGATTCATGGTTCCTGTCACTGAATCAGAACTGCACCAAGCCCAACAACAAATGGTACACTTACAGGTCTCACTTTGTCCAAAAGGGGCATTCCTTTGCTCTGCACAGCATGAAAATGTAACTGGTTAAATTCAGTCCCAATTCTTTCCAGCATCTGCCCTGCCAAGGGAGGGCTGTAGAGGGAAAAAACACATGGAAAATTAACTGTGCGTGCTGGTTCAGGGTATTTAAAAAGTTAATGACGACTGCAGATGTCGAGAACCACTTTACACTGTCCCTAAAGGCAATCCATTAGAGCTGAGAGACCAGTCAAATCTGGACCCCTGACATGAACTACTTTGTTGATCCTGACAAGCATGCAATATTCAGGAGTGAGAGTGGCCGATGACTAACAGGTCAGAAAATCTTTTGACAAGAAATCATGCAATTACAGCTCTCCTCATGACCGGTAGTGAAATGTAAATACCTCCAGGCCATTTCAAATGGGTGGAATTATTAGCATTCCAAAAAGATAGGAAAATTAACTTACTCTTTGTTTACCTTCTATTACCATCAAGATAATGGACCAATGCATATATTTCAAATTATTAAAGTGATCCCAGCATTTCAGCATTCAATGCTGTTACTACATCGAATACGGATGAAACCCATACTAACAACAGAAAGTGACCTTTTGGATTATATACACACGTGAAGTGAATCAAAGGGCTATCAATAGCAGGGTGTTGCAAATTATTTTCTAAAATGACCCCACTTTTACTCAGCATTTCCTCAAGGACAATAGGGATGGGCAACAAAGACTGGCCTAGCCAGTGATGCTCACATCCCATGAGCAAATACATTTGCATTTTTAAAAACCTCAAATTAATATGAAGCTAGAAACCAACCAAACAAAACAGCAATACATGGCATTTAATTATGAAAGTCTGTGATTTTAAAGAATTTCAAGGGGAAAAAAAATTCATCTTTTAGATATTCAGGTGAGTTTCAATTCTCCATGGTGACAGAAGACTCACTGTAGCCCTGCTTCACTTCACCTACACAAGTACATTGTAATTAACTTCTCTCTCCCCCAAGCCATCCCTCATATTGTAATCAGCTACTCCCACAGCCTCACCCACACATTCTCACTGTAATCAGCTGCAACCCCGCCATGCACAATTCACATTCTAATCAGTTCCTCTCTCCCACCAACCCATCACTCACATCGTAATCAGCTCCTCATTCCCCTCAAAACTTCACTCACCATATATTCAGCCACACCCACCACCCTCACATTGTAATCAGCTCCCCTCTCCCCCAGCCACACACACTCATTATCAGCTCCCCCACCCTCACACACTAACAACATAATCTGCTCCCACTCCATCACGCACACATTACAATCAGCTCCGTCAACTAGCACAGAAACTAACATTGTAATCAGCTCCCCTCTCCCCCCTCTCAAACTGTTATCAACTGCACATCCCCACCCAAACATTGTTATCCGTCCCCTTCTCCCATCACTCACACACACATTGTAATCAGCTCCTCCCCCATCCTCACTCTTATTGTAATCAACTACCCCACCAGCCCCACCCACAAATTGTTTTCAGCTCTCTTCTCTCTGTACCATACCATAATCAACCCTCCCCATCCTCACACACAAACCAACATTGAAATCAGCTATTCCTCCCAACCCCGTCACACTCACATGGTAATTAATTGCCTCCATGCTCACACAGTAACCAGCTCCCCCAACCCTCACCCTCACATTGTAATCAGCTGCCCTCATGCTCATATTATAATAAACTATCCCTCCACCCTCACACTCATATTATACTCAGCTCCACCCACCCTGACTCAGACACACGTTGTAATCATCTCTTCATCTTCAAACCCTCCAATCACGCTCCTATTCTTATGTCAGATCTCTTCTCCACAAACACACACACACACCTCTATCTTAGTAGGAGCAAATTACTATAGATGCTGGAATATGTGCTGAAAACAACAAATGCTGGAGATCACAATGGGTCAGACAGCATCCAAGGAGAGAGCAAGCTAACGTTTTTAAGTCTAGGTGACTCTTCTTCAGAGCTGACGTGAAGTAAAACATTAGTTTGCTCTCTCTCCATGGATGTTGTCTGACCCACTGTGATCTCTAGCATTTGTTGTTTTCAGCACATCTCTATCTTCTCCACCTAACTCTGCAAGGTCAAGGGAATCATATTAATACAGAAACCTCTGGATATGTTCATTCTTACCATCCTCTCTATCTAGTTATAATCAATGAAGACTGTGCGGTTTACTGAATCTGGGAGCAGCAGAGGCCATATCCACCCTCAAGCACAGGTAGTCAATTAGATTCGTGGCAGATTTATGAAAAGGGAGATGAGTGGACAGCAATCCCTGGCTAACCAGAGGATGTGAAAAAAGAATTCAAATGACTTAATCCTGAAAGATAAAGTTTGAATGCTACCAAATGGCAGAACTTTCTCATCCACAAATAATGAGATTGGTATAAGCAAATTCTCAGAGAACACAACTTAGGATGGCACGGCAACAATGTATGGCACAGATCAAACACACTTTTCCTTCAACTCAGCAGCTTGCTGGTAGGAGCTCACAAAGCCAGGGAAGTGTGAAGGGCAGTACTGACCTTCCAGTAACTCCAAGCAGGGTGTAATTTACACTGCAGTAGTGAGGGAAGTAATACTAAAACAATTAGCAGCTTCTTTCAGACAAGGGTGAATTCTCAACTTTAAGGTGAAGGATGTGAGTGCTCAGGAAGATAACAACGAAGTTAATTAGTGAAACAAATGCAGTGCCTGCATCTGGGATTAAAGTAAATGGGTTGTCAGCAAGAAAGATTAAAGGAATGATTCAGAAACAGGGTGTTTGTGAGGTATTAAGACTATTATCTGTACACGTTCCAAAATTCCTTCTTCACACCAGTAACAGGCCTTTATCAATCTCAGTCTACATTCTGGAATTTCCACCTTAAACCTCTCAAATCCCTCGCCTCTTCTGACTTTCCTTAAAGCCACCTTGGTTGACCAAAATAGCTCCTTCTTTGAATCAGTGTTCCTTTTTCCCTGAATATGTTTCTGTTAAACATTATTAATATGTTCTGAGGAAGGGTCACCAAGCCCAAAACGTTAACTTTGATTTCTCTTCATATATGCTGCCATATCTGCTGAGCTTTTCCAGCAAGTTCTGTTTCTGTTTCTGTTTCTGATTTACTGCATTTGCAGTTCTTTCCATTTTTATCTTTAATGCAGAATTGCAAGTTGCCATGTGTTGGCCAGAAATGCCTGCATTTGTTTTGTAATTCCTACACAGAAATTTTTCCATGCTGTGCACGTAATATTTTCAATCAAGTGCTAAATAGGTAAAACACCTGCAGCCATGTGTCTCATCCTAAGCTCAGAAATAAATGTGTTTCACTAATAGTTAAACCTAAACCTTGTGGGCTTTGGAATCAAATCTAGCAACTTAACTTCAGGAACAGTTTTGTGCTACATGAAGAAGTGAGATTGTTATTTTCAATTATATAAAATTATATTCCAGCAAAAAACTATCAGTTTTTTTGACATTTTTACCTTTTACATAACAGTCTTGTACTTGAAATTTATTTTTAAAAATCTTGCATATTCAGGATCAGAAAAGGAAAACAGAGAACAATGAAGACACGAGAATTTATGATGCTGTTTCTAGAAAAAAAATTAATCTGCGAAGTTAGTTATGTAGCTGTACTTTAAATAAGTTGGTGATGAAATTAAAATAAACTGAGAAATGATACACTTTTACACTTATGTATCAGTCTACCATTCACCATGCCACAATCCTTCTCCTACATAATGATAAACTCTACAGGTACTCAGACAATAGCATCTCCCTGAAGCTAATGGAATGGGTTCCATGTTTCAAATTTCAGCTCAAGTTTTTGAAACACACTGTGGCTTACTGTAAAAGTAAGAGCAACTTAAAGAGACACAAAAGACACATAAACAGGATGAGGCTATTTCCCATCCTGAACTAGATTGTTGCAGCTTCCAGAGTTTGAAGATTAATCTCTTGGATACTCATAAATCATGGGAGGAAAATCACAGCAGCATTGAAAAATCAATTGCTCATCCCCTTTCTCAGCCAACATAATTATACACAGTTTATTTGTTACAGAATTATTGGAAATGGGGAAATATGGGTGTGTAAACAGGCATATAGATTCAGGTTGGAGATCATAATGAAATCTCCAAGAATAAGTCCATCAATGTTGACAACCAAACTCCTGGGCCATTCAATTTGAACATGGCTGGTCTTATCTGAAGTTCAACTCTATTACTGTTGATCATCGATGTTTCTTGTTCAAAATCATATTTTAAAGTTATATCAAAATACTATTTTTAAAGAAAATTCACTAGCTTTCAAAAATATTTTGATTGATCTGATTGCATTGCACTTCTTTCTAAACAGTTTGTAAAGGATCAAACTTAAATTCTTTATATAAATAGCTAATCAACTGGAGGAAATTTGCACTTGTCAACCCAGAAACCAGTCATTCAGACCAACTGGTCTGTGCCAGCGTTTACGATTCACTTGAGTCTCTTCTCACCTCTTAATTTCATGGTATTAACATCTCCTTTTTATTCATGTGTTTATACAGTTTCTCCTTCAAGCATTTACATTATTTGCCTGAATCACTCCTTGTGGCAGCAAATTATAAACTGTTGTCACTCTTTAGCTAAAGGTTTTTCTCCTAATTTCCCTTTTTAAATTAGCAGTGACCATTCTATATCTGTGCCCCTCATTCTCATCTCCTCTTTCACAACTTCTTTATGCTTAATTCCTTCAGGCAAATTTTAAATTAGTTTTAGGTCTCTAGCGCAAAACAAAGCAAAAAGAGACAAGTAGACACAATTTCCATTTTAAAAATCGCAGGGACTAATTTTAGGCCCAGTCTTTGCAAGAAAAGCAAGATTTGGTCAAAGGCAAGGAAGAACCGTAGTGATTGACAATCACAAATGTAATACTGACTGTGTGATTTATATATTTTTCAATATCACTTATTGCAAGCTTGGGTTATTTGGTTTTTGAGTTAGTAACATGTGGGTTTTCTGTGCATCTCAAGTGAATAATCAGTTGTTGGAAGCCTAGCTTTAGAGTTTGGGTTTTTGTTTACCATAGGTTGTCTTGAATTGCAGCATTGTAAATAATGGGGTTTCAAGGCTTGTTGGAGGTTTCTGGAACATTTTTTAAGCGTAAGGGAAACGCATATAACTAAGAGATGGAAGTTTTTTTTTTAAACTCTTACTTTGAATTTTGGGAAATCCTGTGATGATCTTGAATAAATATGGCTGTACAGAGTGATAGTCCTGAGAAAGGAAGGATGTAGTGAACTAGGTTACTTTAGGATGAAGAGTTAATGCTAATCCCAGACCAGAAGTATTCGGATGAAACCCTGAAGAGGTTAACTAAATCTGAGTATTTTTAAACCTAGGTGTATAATAAATCTGCAATTCCAGTCTATATATTGTCACAAGTGACATAAACCTACTGAGACATTAGAGACAGGGACTCTAATGGTACTTCATAATATTTATTTCAGATACTATACAATGTGTGTTTTGGGTATTTTGTGAACCTTTTTATTCAATTTATAAAAGAATGCTTGGGATTAATGAGATTACACTTTCGCTGTGTGTTTAAAGAAGATCTTTGAATGTGCGTTACATGTGCTTAAATGCTTTATTCTATTTTATCTTCATTTCTTTTGTTAATAAACTTCCATTGTACTGTTAAAGCAAAATCTACAGCAATATCTTAATGCTTCAGTGACAGACCTCTTTGTTAGAGTCAAAATAAATCAAAACATGATCTAAAAGCCCAGCCCCTGTCTGGGATCTGATTTGTCTAGTAATAACATCAGCTGGGATCATAACATTAATTTCACCCTCATTAATATTATCCATAACTCTGGATGAAGGGTGATTTGTTACACCACCCATTAGGCTGGGATGGGTTACATCTCAACCATCAGCTGCATTGTTCTCAAGTCACAAAGTAGCGTTACTTTTCATGTACAACAGTTGAACACTTGGTCATGATGTTTCACAAAATGCAGAGGACGCAAAACTTACCCACTTGTTTCTAAGGGGGAAGCCTCTTTGGAAGACTGAGAGTGAAGGATCTTCTCAATTTTCTCCACTGATCGGATTACTTGAAGCAGTCTTAACACACACATCTGCAAGGGTACATGTGTGTAAAGCAGAAGTGTTTATAACAGTCAACTTACTTTATACATTCAACTCTTAATTATAAAGCACAACCTGTACATTCTTACATCAATATACAATTTCAATGTATAGGTTTAGTTCACCAGGGTTCTCATTCATGCCTCCATGAGTGACAAGTGAAATGCACCGATGTTACAATATATGCAATAGCTGCAACCAAATCAGTTCTAATGTGAATTGACCTCCAGGGACAAGTTTATTTGAAAATAGGTCTGACTTAGGTTCAAAAGTTACATATAATGGTAGCTGGATTTTACCTTCAAATATCCAATTCATGGTTCATCTACCGACATGAACAATGATTTAATCTCAAGAACCCATAGGTTACTTCTAATCCTGGCAGAAATAAAAATAAGTTCAGTGTGTTTTATTGTGTGTGACACATCTCCACATGCACACAGCTGCAACCATTGCAAAGAAACAATGATAGTTCAGTGGCTATCACATTAACCTTGTAGTCAGAAGGCGGTGGATTTAAAAAAAAATGCAAATAGAAGTAGTGGCAAAACAGCATCCATTACATGATTAGATTTGATGAGATATGGGATAAAAGAAAGGTTTTAGAACCAATATGTACAAGGTTTAAAAGGGCCAAATCCAAAAGAAGAGCTTAAAATGTGGAATCAAAGCACAGGAGTCCACTCACTCCATTGTGTCTGTGCAAGCCCTTTGAAAAGGATACAATTAATCCTACTTCTCCTCTCTCATCTCACAGGCTACACTTTTTTAAATCAGTACAGACCCAATTGCCCTCTGAAAGTTGCTGTTGAATTTGCTTCTACCAACTTTTCAGACAGATCACAACAACTCATCTCTGGTACTATTGCCAATGGCAATTCAAATCCTATGGCTACTGACACCTCTATGAAGGCAAACAGTTTCTATTTATTTACTGTAGTAAAAGCGCCTTATGAAGATTGTCACTGACAAAGTACCACTTAAAAGACTGGCAAGATAGAAGATCAGGCTGGAAAGGTTAGGGTTGCTCTCCTTGAAGCAGGAGATTTGATTGAAACATACAGCATTATAATAGAGATATAAGAAAAGGTAGAAAGGGAAAAATTCTTCCCATTAGTTGATGGCAGAGGACCACAAAAGAGATGTAAGGTTTTGGGCAACAGATAGTCAGAGAATGTGAGGAGGATTTTTGTTTTATGTAGCAAGTGATAAGAATGTTGAACCCATTGCCCATGAGGGTGGAGGAAGTGGAAGCAATCAATTATCTCAAAGGAAATTTGATGTGCAATCTGATGAAGCAATCAATGATTTCAAAGGAAATTTGAAGCGCATAAGAGAGATACAAACCTGCAGGGTTGAGGGAAATGAGCGGAAGTACAAAAGAGCCAGCATAGGCTTGTTAGATCGCATGGCCTCCTCTGTGCTATGAATTATTCCAATTTTTAACACCTAGACTAAATAATTTTAACCATTTCTACTCTAAGAAGAACAATCCTTGCCTCTCTAGTCTTAAACATCAGGCAGATAGAAACTGAAAGAAGTCCATACTAGCCATGAGTGATTTTGTAATAGTCTTTGTACAGTGAAGTGCCCCGGGCATCGGTCCTAAGGTCTCTTACTGTTTCCAATCTGCATAAACAGGAATTTATTAACACAATATAAATTAATCAAATTGGCAGATGGAACTAGGCTCAGCATGCAGAATAGGTTGATGCAGCAGCCAAGGAGCAGTGAGAGAAAAATTGAAAGTAAACGGAAACAGGCCACAAATAAAATTCAATATCTGTATAAATCCAAGTTACAGAAAACTGCAAATCCCAGAAATCTGAATCAAAATAGAAAATGCTAGCAGCACCCAGCAGCAAAGTCATGTCATTGGAGAAAACATTCAAAGTAAGATCTGGGATTCAGAGAAGTTAAAAGTTTTGCTTCAAATTTCCACCTCCCCCTCACCATTCCAGACTTTGCAACCCTAGGGATGACCTTTCCAGAAAGAAATGCAGATGCTGGAAACCTAAAACAAAAACAGAATGTGCTAAAGAAACTCAGCAGGTCTTACAGCGACTGTGGAGCGAAAAATAAGAGTTATCATTGAGTCCAATGACCCTTATTTATACTTGGTGGGAGGCAGCCGACCAGCTGTGAATCTAGAATGCAGTGAGCTAGTGAATCACCAAATACAGATTGTAACCTACGACTAATGATAACAAGTGACAAGAGCTTGGAGATATTTAAATTACCACAGGACCCAAGAATCAATATTCATCCTGTTATCACATTACCAGCAAGGGCTATTTTTAACCACTTGGAAAATATTAAGAGTAAGATGCCTCAGGTGCAGCATAACAGCCTGCTAGTCTGCATTGATGAGCAGAAAGCAAAAGGAGAATGCTGCAAATTTGAAGGTCAGAGGGCTCATTTCGAGAATGAGTGTCTCTGCAGCAAACTGAAATATGTCATGGAGAATAAACTCAAATGCGCCATCACACAATCAGATTGAGATTCAAACAAATTCAAACAGGTTTGCCACATGGAGTCTCTGCACTCAGAGCCGTTGTCACAGGACCATTACATCCCACTCACAGTAACACTGTCAGAGGGCCATTACATCCTACTCACAGCAACACAGTCACAAAAATCATTATATCCCACTCTCAGTGATACTGTCACAGGGCGGTCACATACCACTCAAGTGACACTGCTGCAAGGCCAAAAAGATCATCATGTCCCCACTAAATTAACAAACTAATTCATTTAATACTAAACAGATAGATGAACTCCACGTAAAAGCGGTAGATAGCATATAGAGAATTCAAAAAATGTCAACATGTTCCCAGTCCAAACTTCAATCTGAAAATAACCTGCTTAACACAATTTCTATTCTTCTCACATGACTTCTGACTGTGAGATCACTAACCTGACACTGCTCCCTCCAAAATAACAGATACTGTCTACAAAACTGCAGAGGCAACACTCCAAATCTGTTCAGAGATATCCCAGAACAAATTAAATCAAACTCTGTTTCCCTTCACTGCATTAGATAGAACATCATTCACAGAATTCACACCACTCATTACTCCCACACATAACTGTCGAACAAACACACCCAGTGCAGAAGAATTTCGGTATTCTGGGTGTGTTGGCCTATCAATCCAATGCAAATACTTTGAATAGGTCCATCCAAAAATAATGACAAAACTCAACCCACACATATTGGGTAACCTAAGTACACATTATTCACAACAATCCCTGCAATAATCAACTTAACCTGTTTATACTGTGATCAGTGGGAAGGAATCAAATAAATAAAGTCAAGACAGACAAAGAAATGCTATTTAAATGCAGAATCTAAAGTATGGTGAAGTTTGATCCTGGGAACTTCCTCACATAAATGTCCTTTCATTAAGTTCCACTCCAGAGACTAGGGACTCAGAAGTCTGTAGAATTGTCAAGCTGCAAGATTATAAAAATTTCCAGCCCTTTAAACATTCAAGTAACAGCCAGCTTGTGTTTAGATATTCTAAAATCTCAAATTAGGAAGCTACTTAAATATCTAGCCTTACAAAAATTAAAAAAACAACTTGCCTAAATCAGTTAATCGAAAAGGTCTCTTCTAGCAGTTACAATAGAGGCTTATTGACACTTGCCCAAGGGCTATCATTATGTCTTTATTAATATTTGGCTGATTTCCACAAATAATTATTAGGAGTCCTACATTCACAGTTCAACTGACATCCCAAGAGGTTATTAAAGGATTAGTTGTTTTGATTTGGTATTATAAATACAAGTTTGTTGATGTTATGGGAATTAAGTACCTCAGAGGATTAAAAATGTTGAAAGAGGTTTCATGAATTCAAGTGTTTTTTGTATTTGTAAGATAGCGAACACTGCAATGGATATTCAGGCCTTTTATTTCTTCTCAACCTAGCTTCTGAGGTTTGCCCAAGGTGGGTACTGAGTAAGTTGGCATGGGAGCTATAAGGAACCTTGGGAGTACATGGCACATAATTTGAAACATGGGCTATGGGGGTTTTTGGGGCATGGATTGGCAATAAGAGTAGATTGAAGGCACAGTTTAACTAAAAAATGAAACTGCCAGTGAATGAAATCATAAATATATTTTAGTTCTAAAAAAGTTTATATTTGCTTCATTCTTGGCATATGTTGACAACTGCAGTCACAGAAACCTAACAAATCCATTCAGTTAAATGTTCCTAATATGATATTAAACAGTATTTCACCTTTTTCTTTCGGATGTCATCTTCTTTAAGCAGACGGTCATCAATGGCTTGAATTCCTTCACTAACCGCCAGCTTGAGACTCTACAGCACAAAAAACAGAAAACCTTCTTAGAAAATAAAGATATGACACCTAGAAGCAAAAGGGAGGAATAAATACCATTATTTAGTATTGTTCTATGTACTGCAAACGATTAACAATTACAAATGCTGATATGAAGCATGTGCAAGTTGCTTCACAACTTGATTATAACTGAACATCTGAATGGTCATGTCAACAAAACAAAACAGCTCGATTCCATGAGTATCAATAAAAAGCAGTTTAAAACAGCTATCAATTGCCTCCCTTCTGACGTTCCCAGAGACAAAGGATCAAACAATGTTGTAAATTGGCATTAGCCACCACTTAATTTTTTTCAGCAAGTCGAGGAAATAACATCCATAAAACAAAAAAACTCATAATATAAAACAAACAATTCAACAATTTAAATTTATTAGAGTAGCTTGAAGTAGAAAATATCTCATTTCATAACAAAATGTCATTGCGTATAGTTGCCTGTATTATTCGGAAACATTTTTCTATTGGCCTATTCCTCTTTCAGTAATCCAGGATCAGTGGCTGGAGCTTGCTTTGGAGTTTTGAGCTAGCCTTTGTTATTCGACTGTTTTACAGTTAGTACTTTGGTTTCACCAGATTGGCTACAGTCTATGTCAATCAGATGATGCACCTTTTCAGTTTTACTACCATTATCTTCATCAAAGCTCTCAACTGTATCCATGTACTCCCTTCAGTTGTCAAACCCATCTTGATTACTGTTCATGCCGTCACATGGGTGCAGTTAACTTGATAAAGCAAGAGTTCAAACACAGCAAAAGAGATTAAGCAGAGCAAAAAAGGAGACAAAGGCACACAGGCATAAAAAAGAAAGACAAGGTGACAACTTAATGAAGATATTCACACATGCAAAAGACATGTTGCATTTCAGCATCCGAGCGCAAAGCCATTTTGCTGTCCATGAATGCTAAAGAGCCTCTTTCCTTGCTGTAAAAGCTCTGTGACTCTCGCTTTTTGACAGTTATAAAGATCCATTGTGAAATACGTTTGACTAGTTCAAATTCAGTTCCCAGGGAAAACCCCGAAGACAAAATTGTTCAGAACTCAAAGCTGGCAATCTGACTCTGGAAGGCCAAATGCTGCATGTGCAAGTAAAGGCACCTTACTGAAGTATCTTTTTACAGTGTTTAACCTTATGTATGATTGACCTGAGACTATGCTAATAATATTAGCTCTACGTGACAAATGTAATAAACTGCTCCCTTCCTCAACATTATCTTTTCTTTGACCAGGAAACAAAATGCCCACGAACACATCAACAAAATCAGCAAGTTATCAGATGGTTCAACCTGAAGCAGGTTACATTTTCAATTTATTATTGGTTATTGGTTCAGAACTAGGGATGATACAAGGACAAGATACAAAGACATACCATCACCTCTTCTCTCAACTGGCCCAATGGTACTGTCAGTTGCTTCAAAGCTCGATCCATGCCAACCTGAAAAAGAATGTCACAATTAAAAATAGAATGCAAATGCAAACAATTAGAATTACATAGGTTTTATTGAAAGTGGAAAGTGCCTTACCAAATTGGTAGAAAGGTTGACAAAGTCTGCATAGTCTTTATTTATCAGTTCTACCATAGCAGTTTTCAGGAGCTTATAATAAAGTTCCAAATCATCCCGAAGTGTCTCCAACTGAACATGTTTTCTGCACTCAGACACAAAATGATCCACATCAAAATCATCCTGTAAATGGAAAGCAGTGAACATGTCAAAGAATCCAAAGAAAATCTCAGCCTAATGAATACACACTTAACTTTTAATGCACAGAAGAAAGGATATGAATTTACAATTTGTCGTACTTCAGAATTAATAAATACAGCTTTCATCAATTATTTAGGAAATCTGAAATATATTTTTGTAACTGTAAAGCTGTTGGATAGGAAAAAGGTCAAAAGTCCAATCTAGATGCCAACAGGACAAATGTTTTTAACTTAGTTAGTAGGATCTCTTGAGAGGGGTAATTAATGTCTGAAGTTAGTCCATCTTAAGAAGCAAGTTGACCAGAATCATAGCAAGTCCTGGCTACAAGTCTACATGACACAGTTGTATGGGAAAATGGAAGAAAAGTGAGGAAGGCAACCAGTAGAGGACTTACTCAATAAATGGTAGGGCCTTGACGAGTGTTGCCAAACAAAGAGACCCAGGGGTTCAGGTACATAGTTCCACGAAAGTGGAGTCGTAGGTCAAGAGGGTGGTGAAGAAAGTATTGGCACACTTGCCTTCATTGGTCAGAACACTGATTATAGGTTTTGGAAGGTCACGTTGTGGCTGTACAGGACATTGGTGAAGCTACTTTTAGAATACTGTGTTCAATTCTGGTTGCACTTCTACAGGAAGGATGTTGTTAAACTTATAAGGGTGCAGAAAAGATTTTCAAGGCTGTTGCCAGCACTGGAGGGTTTGAGCTATTCGGACAGGCTGAATGCACTGGGGCTTTTCTCCCTGGAGGCTGAGGACTGACCTTACAGAGCATTTTTTAAAATCATGAGGGGCATGGATAGGGTGAATAGCCAATATCATTTTCCTAGGTGGGGGGAGTCCAAAACCAGAAAGCACAGGTTTAAGGGAAGAGGGGAAACATTTAAAAGGGAACTGAGGAGTAATTTTTTCACGCAGAGGGTGGTGCGTGTATGAAACAAGCTGCCAGAGGAAGGAGTGGAGATGGGTACACTTAAATTTAAAAGGCATCTGGACAGGTACATGAATAGGAAGGACTTAGAGGGATATGGGCCAAATGCTGGCAAATGGGGGCTAGATCAGATTTGGCTGTCTGGTCGGTGCAAATGAGTTGGACGGAGGGGTCTGTTTCCATGCTGTATGACTCTTTCACCCAATCTAAGGACAATGCAGAATAAAATGTTCCTTAACCCACCAAAATGGACAGTCTGGTGGCTTTTTATGATTTCTTCTGTTAAAACAAATTGCGTTAAAGACAGATGAGAGATTTATTGTAAGATAAAACAGTAAAACAATTCATTTTGGAACTCTCTGAAAATTAAGCACAAATGCACAACTACAATATTGGAAATACACACATGGGTACATACAATCTTATGACATCCATTTCATCCAGCAAGAGTCTGGTCGCAATGGTGTCTGGGTTCATATCATCATATAGATCGTACAAGTTAATTCCTAAGCATAGGGGATGTAGAGTCACTTGAAGTCAAAATGAGGTTGGAAAAGTCCATTGTCATTGCCAGGGTTTCAATTAACAGGAGTCATACTCATACAGCAAAACAGCTACACAGCACGGAAGTAGACCCTGCAGTCCAACTCATCCACGCCAAACAGATATTCTAAATTAATCTAGGCCCATTTGCCAGCATTTGGCCCATATCTCTCTAAACCCTTACTATTCATATAACCATCAGATGCCTCTTAAATGTTGTAATTGTAGCAGCCTCCACCACTTCCAGTACCAGCTCATTCCACACATGCACCACCCTCTGCATGAAAAAGATGCCCCTTAGGTCCCATTATATCTTTCCCCTCTCACTTTAAATCTTTACCCTCTAATTATGGACTACCCCACCCCGAGGAAAAGACCTTGGCTATTCACCCTATCATTGCTCCTCATAATTTTATGAACCTCTATAAGGTCATCCCTCAGCCTCTGACGCTCCAGAGAAAATAGCCCCAGCCTATTCGTCCTCTCCCTATAGCTCAACATCCTCCAACCCTAGCAACATCTTTGTAAATCGTTTCTGAACCCTGTCAAGTTTCACAGCATCCTTCCTACAGTGGGCAGACCTGAATTTCACACAGTATTCCAGAAGTCCTGTACAGCCACAACATGATCTCCCAACTCCTATACTCAATACACTGACCAATAGGGGCAAGCATACCAAATGCCTTCTTCACTATCCTGTCAACCTGAGACTCCACTTACATGGAATTATGAACCTTTTCAAACAAGGTCTCTGTTCAGCAACACTCCCCAGGTCCTTACCATTAAGTGTATAGATCCTGCCCTTATTTGCCTTTCCAACATGCAGCACCTCACATTTATCTAAATTAAATTCCATCCGCCACTCCTCGGTCCATTGGCTCATCTGATCAAGGTCCTGTTGTATTCTGAGATAACCTTCTTCACTGTCCACTACATATCCAATATTGGTGTCATCTGCAAACTTACTAATCATACCTCCTATATTCACATCCAAATAATTTATATAGATGATGAAAAGCAATGGACCCAGGACCGATTCTTGAGGCACACCACTGGTCACAGACCTCCAGTCTGAAAAGCAACCCACCACCACCACCCCCTCGGTCTTCTGCCTTCAAGTCAGCTCTGAATCCAAATGGCTAGCTCTCCCTGTCTCCATGTGATCTAACCAGTCTACCATGCAGAACCTTAGCCTTACTAAAGTCCATATAGATCACATCCTCCACTCTGCTCTCATCAATCCTCTTCATTACTTCTTTTAAAAACTCAATCTTATGTTAGTGAGACACGATTTCCCACACACAAAACCATGTTGTCTATTCTTAATCTGTCATTACCTTTCCAAATACATGTAAATCCTGTCTGTCAGGATTCCCTCCAATAACTTGCCCACCACTGATGCAAGGCTCACCAGAGTATAGTTCCTTGGCTTTTCTTTACCACCTTCCTTAAATAGTGGCGCCATTTTGCCAACGTTCAGATTTCCGGCATTTCACCTGTGGCTATCAATGATACAAATATCTCAGCAAGGGACCCAGCAATCACTTCTCTAGTTTCCCACAGTTCTACGGTACACCTGATTAGGTCCCAGAGATTTATCCAACTTTACGCGTTTTAAGATGTCCAGCACCTCCTCCTCTGTAATATAGACATTTTTGAAGATGTCGCTGTTTATTTCCCTACGTTCTATATCTTCCATATCCTTCTCCACAGTAAACACTGATGCAAAACACTCGTTTAATATCTCACCCATCTCCTGAGGTTCCACACATAGGTGGCCTTGCTGATCTTTAAGGATCCCTATTGACTCCCTAGTTACTTGTTTATCCTCAATGTATTTGTAGATACCCTTTGGATGCTCCTTAACCCTACTTGCCAAAGATATCTCATGTCCCCCTTTTGCCCTCCTGATTTCCCTCTTAAGTATACTCCTACTGCCTTTAAACTCTTTTAGAGATTCACTCGATCCCTGCTGTCTATACCTAGCATACGTGTCCTTCTTATTCTGGACCAAAACGTCAACTTCTCTAATCATCCAGCATTCCCTACACCTACAAGCCTTTGCCCTTCACCCTGACAGGAACATACTGTCTCTGGTCTCTCGATATCTCACTTTTGAAGACATCCCATTTTCCAGCCATCCCTTTACCTGCAAACATCAGTCCCCCAATCAACTTTTAAAAATTGTTGCCTTATACTGTCAAAATTGGCCTTCTTCCAATTTAGAATTTTAACCTTTAGATTTGGTCTATCCTTTTCCATCACTATTTTAAAACTAATAGAATTATGGTCACTGGCCCCAAAGTGCTCCGACACTGACACCTTAGTCACCTGCCCTGCCCTATTTCCCAGGAGTAGGTCAAGTTTTGCTCCTTCTCTGGTAGGTATATCCACATATTGAATCAGAAAATTTTCTTGTACTCCCTTAACAAATTCCTCTCCATCCAAGCCCTCAATACTATGGCAGTCTACATGTGGAAAGTTAAAATCCTCTCCCATTCCCACCCTATTATTCTTACAGATAACTGAGATGTCCTTACAAATTTGTGTCTCAATTTGCCACTGATTACTGGGGGTGGGTCTACAGTACAATCCCAATGAGGTGATCATCCCTTTCTTATTTCTCAGTTCCATCCAAATAACTTCCCTGGATGTATTCCCAGGAAAATTCTCCCCAAGTATAATCATAATGTTATCCCTAATCAAAAACATTACTCCCCCTCTCTTTCTCTCCACCCCTTTCTATCCTTCCTAATAGCACCTATACCCTGGAACATTAAGCTGCCAGTCCTATCTATTCCTGAGCCACATCTCTGTAATCGCTATGATATCCATGTCCCATGTTCCCAGCCATGCCCAGAGTCAATCTACCTTACCTGTTAGGCCTCTTACATTGAAATAAATGCAGTTTAATTTATCAGTCCTGCCTTGTCTTCTGCTTTGTTCCAACTTGCCTGACTGACTTGCTCCTTTTCCCAACTGCATCAATCTCAGACTGATTTCATTTCTTGGTGTCTCCCTGGGTCCCGACCCCACCCCACTAGTTTAAATTCTCCCCAGCAGCTGTAGCAAATCTCCCCGCCAGTACATTAGTCCCTTCCAATTCAGATGCAATCTGTCCTTCTTACAGAGGTCATTTCTGCCTCAGAAGAGATTCCAATGATCTGAAAATGTGAATCCTTCTCCCCTGCACGAGCACCTCAGCCACATTCTCCTATTCCTACTCTCACTAGTTTGTGGCACCAGGAGTAATCCAGATATTACTACTCTTGAGGACCTACTTTTTAACCCCAATACCTGGACCTAAAGATAGCTGAGATGCTGCACAATGATGACATGCTAGGGTATGGGGAATGCAGCAGGCAAGTCTGCAGCAACATTGCTGATCCTGATCGATGGGACAGAGTAGTCAGCACAGTTAATGAGAGTTACTGCAGATTGATAGCTGTTGATGTGACGTGTTGGCTCGAACTGATTGGGGAGAGGAATAGTGCAAATTCATCAGAAGGATCCGAGCCAGGCTTTATCCAGGGAGACCAGTGAGGGGGTTGATGGAGGTCCCCAAGCCGGGTATAAACCAACGGCTCGGGCTCGGGCCGCAAGGGGATGTCGGCTTTAGGGTTGGTAATAACGCTCGGCTAGGCACCGCCCCGTCGGGTGTGTACCTTCATAAACTCATCCTTATTGAAGCAGAGCGAGTCAGGCCCCATGGGCAGATTGAGCGACCCGGCCGCCCGCCGCAGCTCCATGCTCCGTCAGTTTTCATCGAAGCCGCGGCCTAAACCTCTGTCGACATGGCAGCTGCCGGGACTGAGGAGGGTGTAGGAGAAACAAGAGGTGTCACATCCCAAGACCTCCGTCTACAGCGTCCTCTACCGCACGGGAAGACCTATGCAACATTCCAACTGCACTATGGGTTTGACATTTTGAAAACCAAAGAACTGTGGGTGCTGTAAATCTGGTACATGAAC